AGAGGCTGCTTCTCTCCCACAGAAGCTGGTGTCTTGGGGAACAGTGAGGGAGGAGCTATGCCTGAGAGCTGTGCAGGGGGGCTGGTAGACAAGGTGAGGGGAGAGGGTCAGGGAGGGGGGTGAGTCTCCCTGGGCAGGCAGGGGGTGGGAAGTGGAGCAGGGCAGGACACTGCCCTGTGAGCCAGGGCCCTGGGAGGAGCCTGGGGGCACATGGAGGGAGAGTGGGGAACAGGAGGGGCTAGTGTGATCTGAGGCTGGGTCCCCCAGCTAAGGGGCTGCTCAGCCAGGGAGCTGCCCCTGGTTTTCAGTGTAATGTGGACACAGAGCCAGAGCCTCATGCTCTGGAACCTTGGTTAAGCCTCATTTCATTTGTTCCCCTTGACATTTCTTATGAGTTCTTTAAAATGCTCTACCTCCTGACTGTGAACAGGAGGGACAGTGGAGGCCATTTCTCCTGTGGTCTCTGGGGAGGTGGATACAGAAGTGCATGCGGGTGTCCCTGGAGGGGTGTCCCTGGTAGAGAACCCACACCTCAGCTCCTGGGAGCCCCCACCCCCCAAGCCAAGGAGCTCTGCCTGTCCCTGGAGACCCAGCCAGCAGTGGAGATGGGGATCCCTGGTTCTGCAGGCCCCACAGTGGCTGGGCCATGACTTTGCCCCAGTGCCCCCTCAGCTGCCCCCCCACAGACACAGCCCCTCCTCACAAGGCTGCAGGGAGCAGCTCAGGGGAACCTGCTTCCCCCTGACACCCCTCTCCCCTTCTTCTCCTCCCTCTGCCTCACTGGGCTGGGCAAGACAGGGTCTCCATGGGGGACACTCTCCTCACTCAGGACTGGGCTCTCTCAGAAGACACTGGGGGAGCTGTGGGCTCCCCTCCCTCCCTGGGGTTCAGCCTTGAGCACCCCCCTCGGGCTCTGAGCCCCAGGCCCTTGCTGTGTCAGGGTCTCCTCAGCAGGAAGAGGCTCTCAGGGCAGGAGCTGAGCAGCAGGTGCAGCTTGTTCCAGGGAGTGTGGGTTCCCCTGGGGAGTCAGGGCTGGAGCTGGAGCTAATTCTCAGCACCTCTGTCATTGCACCTCTGTCATTGTCAGAAGCAGCCTCTGCTCCCTCCCTCCTGGGTGTGTCACACCCCTTGGGTGTGACAGAGGTTCTGGTCACTTGCTCTGTGATGTTCTCCAGCTCACCCTGTGTCCTGTCAGATGACAGACTATGGCGCTAAGCCTCACTTGGGCAAGACATATTTATCTTTCCTCAAGATGCATATGGCAGGTTGTCAATAAATACTCACTGACAGGTGAGTGTCAGAATTGAGTCCTAAACCTTCCAGTAGGGGATCCCTGGTAAAAAGGGAGGGACAGGTTAAGGAGAAATGCTTCTGGTTTCAGGGTGCAGGGGTGTGTGTGTGTGTGTGTGTGTGTGTGTTGTGTTCCATGAAAGGGGTGACGCCCTCCCCCACCCCCCTCAGGGCTCAATGCAGCTGTGAGATTGGGGCTCATGAGGGACAGACCCAGAGGTGAAGCTTGGCTGGACAGAGATGCTGACTGTGTCCCCTGCTGCCCTGTGGGAATTCGGTTTTTATTGTTGAAAATGAACACAAAGAAGAGCTCAGTCTCCAGTGAGTGAATAAGCAGGTGAATTACTTCTCACCACCCCAGGACCCTCCCAGCCTGCCTGGGGACCATTGATTTCCATCACCACAGATTTGTTTTGCCTGTTCTTTGTATCTAGAATTCTGCATGGACTGTGTGTGTGTGTGTGTGGTTCCTGCTCTTCTGTCCAAATTTCCAAGGATGACATCTGAATCATCCTTTCCCTCTCAGTGTCCACCCTGAACTTGCCACGAGGGGGCAGCAGAGCCTCATGGAACCTGGAGACCAGCCTAGGGGCGTTTTTATTGGCCCCTGGGTTCCTCCCCCACCAAGTAGCCTCTCTGTCCAGTGCGCCAAGGCAGGAGCTGCAGGATGGCCCTGCTTCCCTCTGGGACCTGCTGCTTCAGAGACCCTCAGGGGTGGGGGTTTGGAGCTGGGATCTTAATTTTTTTTTTTTTTCCAAAGGTTGATTTATGCATACAAGAACTTGGGAACAGGCCAGAGATGCAGGTGGTGTGTGAGAGGGTTTACCAGAGACATAGTGGGGAGCAGAACAGGCAGATTGACTGAAATACACTGCTGAGGGGAGCTGCAGGTGAGATAGGAGAGGTCTGCTTTGCCATTTGGATATTCCTAGGCCAGGGATCAAACTCGTGATGCAAAGGCTGCGGATAGCTTCACAGATTGTGTCTTAACCCCCTGCACCACCAGGGAGGCACAAGGAGGGAAATTTAAAGTAGCAATTATAGCCGTCTCTGTGTGTGTGTGTGCATGTGTGTGTCTTTCTTTTACTTTTCAATTCCTTCTGGGGAAGCACCCTACTCCAACCAACCTGAAACTACGAAGTCTGAAAAATGACTGTAAACTTTTTGCTCCAAGAGAAAATAACCCTGTGAACCTTTAATTTTAACAATGTCCAGAGAAATTAAGCTTTAATGTTAAAGAAAGGGGGTTTAGTCCTTCCAACCAAAAGTTGATTTTAAAATCATTATTCTTTAAACATTTGCCATTGTCTTTTGGCTAATTTAGGTATTTACCAGAAAGAACTTCAAAGCGCTTGAAGCAATTAAAAGATTAGCGGTATCATATGTCTCTTAAAAAAGAGTAAATTATTAACCCATCAGCCATGGGACAATTTATTTTTGAGCAAGACAGTTCAGTGAGTTACCCCCAGTGACTTTTGACAAAGCAGCAGGAACAGGCCTTGAGGAGCTGGAGAGGCAGTGAGGGGGGTGTTTGTCCTTCCTGCAGGGTGTCCTGTGTCCCCCAGTGTTGTTCAGGGACACATGCCCTGTGCTCTGTCCCTCCTCCTCTCCCCTCCCAACATGGACCCAAGGGCAGCATTCAGGGGGAGATGAGGTTTCTGGGTGTGTCCTCCTGGGCATTTGGAGGTCCCCTTCCTATTCCCCTCCCCCTGAGGGGTGTGGAGGTGGGGACTGGGCTGAGAGCTGGGGTGGGGGTGGGGCACATCCTGTAGTTGCAGCCCCTCCCCCCAGGAAGGTCCTGGATCATGTCCCTACACAGAGGGCAGGACTCAGGCGCCTTCATCTCTGTCTGTGCAGCCCAGCTCCTGGCACTTAGGTGCTCAGTACAGTGCTTTTGTCCCATCTGATTCTTCACCAAATACTCTTAATGCCTTTAGGCCTTGAGAATTGTCCCTACTGGAGAGGGATTGGTGATGTTTGAGGGGCTAAATATGGAAGAGAGAATTATTCCTTGTCTCTATATTTATTTTCAAATTCAGCTGGAGATTCCAAGATGGACTCTAAGTCAAGATGATCATAAATGAAATTTTTTTTTTTATCTCAATAGTATCTTTATTTTTTTTTTTTTAAGATTTATTTATTACGCAAGCACTGGGTACAGTCAGAAGTGTGGGAGGGTGAGAGAATTCACCAGAGCCAGAGCAGGGTGCAGAGCAGGCAGAAGGACCGAAGCACACTGCAGAGGGGAGCAGCGGGCGGCAGGAGAGGTCTGCATGCCATGCGGGACCCTCCTCCGGTGGCTGGGGAGCAGCCGGGGATCGAACCGGCGCTGCAGAGGCTGCGGGCAGCTTCGCAACCCAGCGCTCAACCGCTGCGCCACCGGGGAAGCCCTCATAAATGAAATTTTAAGGATGGCAAAGTGGGATATGTTCAAGAATATACAGAAATCTTGAGTTTTAATATGTCAGATAAGACTTCAGGCAGAAACCAAGTATTTCTGGCATCAGGGTCAGTCAGTCTGGCCATGAAGACAGACATGGGAGGCCCCTCAAGAGAAGGAGAATGAGCCCTGGCAGGGACAGTCCTGCTGCTGTGAGGCTGTGGCTCTGTGAGGAGTCGGGTCCCTGGTGTGTAGAACGTGCTGTGAAGTCCACAACCCGGCAGGAGTGTGGTGAGGGCCTCGGTAACCAGGTAGTGACTCTGGGGACTGAGCCTTGGGAGAATCTGGGGGCAGACACAGGTGCTGCCCTGAATGATTCCAGCTCAGTGAGATGTGATTAGTGACCCAGTTGTATTTGGGTGGATAGAATAGCAGACAGGGGAGCATGGTGGACACTGTGTCTATCAGAGGATGGTGCTCAGGTCAGAGGTGACGTCTCGTGTTCTCAGTGGACCAAGGGGTTTTCTGAGTGGACAAGGCTGAGGGGCCGAGGGTCAGCAACAGTGTCTCCTCTGCAGACAAGCTCAGCTGAGGCTGGTGAGGCCCCTCACTGCTGGACACAGAGTAGGACTCACAGGGCCAACTCCTGGGATCCCACATGGTTCCCAGATGATACACGTCCGGGCTGGGGTGGAGGACAGGACCCCAAGCCCAATAAGCAGGTGTGGGGTGCACAAGTGGGATCAGGAGGTTGGCAGAGGCTTCTCTGAGCTGGTCACTTCAGGGGAGGCCAGAAAGGTGAGGGCTTGGGGAGCAGACGCAGCAGGAGCATCAGGGACTGTGAGGAGGCCTGAGGCTGAGAGAGCTCCCTGAATTGGAGGAGTCACCTGAGCCAGAGGGGGCCCCTGGGAGAGCAATGGGAGGGGGTCAGAGAGGAATGGGGAGACCTGGGAGCCCCTCCATTAAGCAGAGGGATCCCCTGAGGGATGAGACAGGGAGTTGACATGAGCTGACTGAACAGGATCATGGTCTTGGAAGGAAATGGACTGGGAGAGGTGAGGCTGGAGGTGGAGTGGTGTGACCCTTGGGCCAAGTGAGAAAGGAGGGTGATGTGGAATAGGTGCTGGTCATGGACATGAATTGAACATTTGGGTGCATTGGAAGAAGACTGGGTGGGGGGGGTGGATCGTGAAGATGACCCTGGAGTTTGTGGCAGAGATAACTGGGTGGGCACCTGTGGAGGGGAAACTCACCTTCACTGAGGAGGGGAAACCACAGGAAGTGAGGGGTGAGGGGAGGCCCAGGCCCCCCCTCGGTTTCCTTGGAGACATAGAACTAGGACTTCCTGGTAACCCTGTATCCTGGAGGGACAGGATCTGGTCACTGTGACCAGGTCTCAGGTGACATTAACATCTGAACGAGCTGCAGGACCCGTCCACACAGTGTTGGCAGGACCAGGTCCTGGCAGCTCTTGGTGCCCAGTGCTGACTCCTGGGGTCCAGGGTGAGGATCTCCTGGGTCAGCTGCTCTGAGGAGAAGAGATCAGCCTCCCTGGGGGCTCCTCACTGGCCCTGCCATGTGAGGTGACCTCTGCCATGAGGTCACTGGGGTGATCAACATTGGGCACAGGCAGAGCCCTACTTGGGGAGAGTGTCAGTCCTGATGATGGGAAAATATATTATTGAGCCATTGGCTTAAGAGGACACATAGTGTGCGGGGGGAGGGAGAGCCACTGGAGGGGAAGCTCACTCCGCTGAGGACCTTAGGCTGGTCTCTGACTTGGTTGCTCCTGCCCAGCCCCCATGATGCCTTCCTGGCCAGACTTCCAAAGGACTGAGTGAGGCAGGACTTTGTGCCCGAGGTTGGATCAGGTAGGTCCCTGGACTTTGGCTCCCATGTGGCCTGCCCAGAGTGCTGGAAGGAGAGGCTGATCACCTCTTGGGGAGACCTCGAGGGTCTCATGACGTTTTGGTCGGGAACTTGGAGCTCCCATAAAGGCAGGGATGGGATGGTTATAACCTTCGGGATGTGTGTGTGTGAGAGAAAGAGAGTGGTGTGTGTGTGTGAAATGTCCACAGCTGCAGCTGCGGAGACACATTGGGCTTTGCCTGTGGTTCTGTCCACAACTCATATAGCTCAATGTTCCTCTAATGTCTGGACTTGTCAAAATCTCTGAGAGGGGGACGGCCAGGAAAGCATCTGTGTGCTCCCCCTTCCCTCGCTGCAACATCAAATAAATGGGAGGGAATTGGAGCAAACAGAGGGTCCTGGAGACCGTGCTTAAAAAAAAAAAAAAGGAAACTCATAGGGAATTTTCTGCCCCACTTTCTTTAAAACCTAAGGGACTGTCTTACAAATATAACTTGAGAAATGTTTTCCTCTCTGAAGGAGGGAGTTAAAAAATATTTAAAAATAAATTAATAATTGTCAGTGTTGTCAGAAATTTTGGTAAAATAACTCTCTCTAAAAATTAGTGCAAATGGCCAGAATTCTAAATGGAAGAGATCTCTGTGTCTGTGTCTTTGCCTTTGCGTCTTTTGTCTCTGGAGGTTGCTGTGTTAAAATTATTACAAATGGCGCCTATATTAAATTCTAATAGAAAAAAACAAATTTTGAGATCGCGATCTGAAATTTTTGGTAAACAAATTAGTTCAAAATGCAATGGTTTAATTAAAGCATACATGTTTTAAATTTATAATGTTGGCAGTTAATAATTCTATTGTACAATTAAATGTGTTTATTTGAAAAAAAAGCAAACTTGTTTGTCTTAACAAGTTTGTCTTTCCTGTATTTCTCCCAATCCCCCTTGTTTGATACAGGTGCTGCCCTGTGAGAAATCCACAAGGGCATCGAAGGGGGAAATGATGTCCAAGGAGAAGAAGGGGGTTAAACAGCAGAACCAGCTGGCGCCTACCCGTCTCTGTGCTGATCTCTCTCTCTCTCTTTTTTAAAGATTTGTTTATTTATGCATACAAGAACTGGGGTACAAGCCAGTGGTGTGGAGGGGGGTGAGACAATTCACCAGAGACAGAGTGGGGAGTAGAACAGCCAGACTGACGAAATACACTGCTGAGGGGAGCAGCGGGGGAGCCAGGAGAGGTCTGCTGTGCCATGTGGGTATCTCCCTGGTGGGGGATTGAACTTGTGCTGCAGTGACTGTGGGTAGCTTCATAGGTTTGCGTCTTAACCCCTTGCACCACCAGGGAGGCCCTCTGTACTGATCTCTTAACCTTCCCCTTTGTAGACCTTGCCCATCTCCCCTTTTTTTTTCCTTAGTAGATGTCTCAGTTTCTACTCCCTTGTGTGCATCACTTCGAAGTGAAAGGGGCCTACACGGCCTCCCCCGTGGCGCAACTGTTGAATTCTGGGTTGCGAAGCTGCCTGCACCCTCTGCAGCGCCGGTTCGATCCCCCGACGCCAGCGAGGGTTCCACATGGCTCGTATACCTCTCCTGCTGCACCCGCTGCTCCCCTCTCAGTGTATTTCATCAGTTTGCCTGTTCTACTCTCCGCTCTGACTCTGATGAATTCTCTCACCCTTCCACGCTTCTACTGTACCCAGTGCTTGAATAAGTAAATAAAAAACAAAAAACAAACCCAAAAAACTATGTTTTTAAAAAAAAGGGGCCTACAAACCAGAGGAAGGACACTTCAGCCAGCGGATGGACAACAGCCCCTGATCCCAAGAATCTCCCTCTCTTGAGGCTACAAATGGATCAACCCACCAGGCAGCCTTAGACATCAAGCCCTGCTCCGGCCACACTCGGGAAGCTGGTTGGTGTACGCACAGCAGAAGCTTGAGGACCTTCTACACATTTGACCTCTTGTTTGTTGTTTTTTCTGTTCCTGTAGTGACTGCCTTTGCAGTCGGCCTAGCCACGGTGGCCCCTGACCCCTGGGATTGGGAGGCACGTCTTCCTCTTGCCTTAGGTTACCTGATACTGTGTATGGACATAATTGTTTTCAAATGTTTGCTAAAATGAGCCTGCTTGCCAGAATCTTCCTACACCTGCTCCTCGCCCTCCCTTCTGTATGTGAGGACTTACCTCCCAAACCACAAGTAACTGCAATGAAGTCAGGGTTTGTACCCAGTCTGACAGAAGGGCCACAAAGAGCAAGGGAGATCTCTGGTCTCTGACACCCTGGGCTTCTTCTGGTCGCTCCCCACAGATGCCTGTGTCCCAGCTATGAGACATAATCAGTGTGCACAAATGGCTCTCGACTGCTCTAATGCGGCTCTTGCTTCAGATTGCTGGATTTTCTTAGGGCCAGGTCCTGCCCAGTATACGGGAGTCATACTCGACCCAGGTCTGTTCCCTCCAAAAGTATCACCTAACTCCTCCTCAAATCTTATCCTAGGTCCTGTGTCTCTGTGGGAAATGCTACAAACCCTTTCACTCCCACTTCTAAGATCTGTGCCACAGATGGCCCTTACCTTGCCTGTGCTCAGGGAGTATATCATTGTGTTACCCAACACAAACAATCATGCTGTGTTGTAAATTTGATGCCTAACTTGGTTATTTTAACTAAAGAGATACACTTTCAAGGTTAAAATCCCCTCACCAGAATAAGAGTCCCCCACCCTGAGCATCCCACTCACAGGGGCCTGCTGACTGCATCCAGAGCTGCTGAGGTAAGAGAGCCTCAAATCCATCATAAAGGGCTGGTGGCTGACTTAAGTCAAATTTGAATGTGCTCATTAGATCAACCCTAGCCCTTCATGCCAAGGTGACTCCTTGACAGCTGTAGTGCCCCAGGACAGGCAAAGACTAGACCTGCTCACTGCTGCCCAAGGAGGTATTTGTATGTCAGAGAAGAGGCCCTGCAGCAGCCAACCAAGTAAGATTCCTCCTCCCCAGGGTTCCAGGACTCTCACCTCATAACGGCCGCTGGGTAATAATCAGGGTTCCCTTAAAAAAGGTATACAGGTGATGCCCTATAAGAAAAATAACTCAGAAGGGCATGAAGGGGGAATGATGAGAAAATACATTATTGAGCAAATGAATATAATAAAGATTCCAGCAGAACTGCCAGCCCAGGAGCAATGAACACTCCAACACAGGCATAATCATCAAGTATGCTTACATCTCTTTCCCTTTCCAGATTCATGGCCAGGCCTCAGCACTCTTAACTACAGGTTGGGCAGCCAACCAGCTGGTCTGTCTCTCCAAGGCCATCCCCGAATGCCTGCATCTTTCCCGCCTTGCCTTGCCACCCTTGTCTGGGAACTTTGCAGCAAATGGCTGTGCCTGCTGAAAAATGATGCTATCCCTGTAACAGACATGGAGACATTGGTGCATAAAAGGAACCCTTGGTCTTTAAATGGGTGCTCAGACCTTGCGGGGCTACCCAGGTCTGGGACCTCTTGCATGAGTCATTAAAGCTTCTCCTGTCCTCACCATTCCTGAAGTACTGCTTGTTTCTTACCCTCTGCTTGGGTAAAAGGCCATAATTTATTTCTACAACACTGACAGGGCCCCACACTCACCCCTAGTTCTGAGTCTGGGAGCCAAGCAGCCTGGAGCACAGAAGGTCCTCAACAGCGGGCACCTCCCCTGTGCCTGCAGGGGTATCAGGGTGCCTGCCCCTCCCCTTTGCTGGCTCCTCTGATCCTGCTGTTTCCCTGATGATAATGGGGGTGCACTGTCCAGATGGCAGGGTGGAGTCTACAGGGTGGGGTCTGCATTTCAGCTTTCACCTTCAAATAGTGTAGGAGCCAGAGAAGGGTGATTGGGTTTTCAAGAGAAAATTAGGAGGATCCCAGGGATCCCACCCCTAGTCAGAGACCCCTCAAAGAGTGCCAAATCTGCCTGTCTCCTCTCCTGGGAACCATCTTCTCTGAGCCATGAGGCCCCTTGGCACCCAGCAGGGCTCCTAAGCAGCTGACAGCAGTTGCTAACTCTGTAAGAAAATTTGGAGTAACACTGAAACTTCTCAAGTTCAAAGGGACGCCCTAGAAGCCCCGCCATTTCAAAGCAGGTATGTCAGTTTTGAAGACATTTATTTTAAGAAGAAAGCGGGGAGCAGCTGGCATTAGGAGGGGTTGAGAAGGTGGTGGGGCTGGGTAGGATGGGAGGTGGCAGAGGAAATGGTCCAGCTCTAAGAGGACCCAGCACAACCTCATCAAAGGTTGTCCTTCACTTATTTTAGTAATGTGTCTGCAATATTTCCTGGGGCAGGACCCTGTTCTAGAGTTACAGGTAGTGACTCTTTAAACATAATCCATGTAATTCTCATTCCAACCTTGGTTGGGAGATGCTGATACTATTCCCATTTTTCTGGTGGGGAATGTTAGGCAAGAAGGTTAAGAGACTTGATGAAGATGGTCACACAGAGAGTGGCCAAGTCCAGAGATGATGTCACAGTCAGCTCCAGAATCTGCCCTCCTGCACCATGGCCTGCCTCCCCCCGAACCCCAGCCAGTGGGTGGTTTGTGGGTTTTTTCTCTGACCAGGACTCATCTTCCCTTCTCTGCTGCTCTAGTCCACTGGTCCCTCCTCTCGAAGCAGAAATCCCCCCGAGTTAGAGAGTGCAAGGATGAAGGCCTCAGTAGGGATATGACCCAGCTCCTGCTGTGTTTGGGGCAGGACCTTGTCCTTGGCCCAGGCAGGTCAGGGCTGGGGAGGGACTGACCTTCAGGTGAATTGAACAAGCAGACAGAGCAGGACAGGGGCCTGTGGGGGGACTCCAACTCCTTGGGGACAGTGTCATGTGTCCTGAGGCTTCTCAAGGACACCTGCACACACTGAGGGGGACGGGACCAAGAGCAAGCACTGGCCTGTCCTTCATGAGGGCCTGGGTTTGGGGAGGGCCTCTGTCCTGGGGAGTCACTGGGTATGATGTTGGGGAGGGGAGGGCAGTTTGCACGACGGGCCCAGGTGCTGGGAATGGAGGGGCCTGGTGTTCTGAGCGGAGTGAGTCTGGGGTGTGGGTTTCTCAGGTTGAAATGGGAAAGGAGGATGTTTTTCTCCAATAAACCTCATGGTCTCTAGAAGCACAGAGGCTCAGAAGCCCTAAAAAGAGCCAGGTCTGTCCTCCTTGGTCAGGGAATAAAGGGTCCCGCTCCTGTTGGTGAGGACCCTGGGCTCTGCTCCCCCCTGAGTCCAGAGCTCCTGGCTGCCCTGCTCCTCTGTGTGGGCCTGGTTGCCACCTGCCCTGTCTCTCCCCAGCCCTGAGGAAATGGCGACCTGCTCCTGCCCTAACTCTGTGCTCTGCCTCCTCCCCTCCCTGCTGCTCCTCCTCCAGCTGCCCCCCGGGGGGTCCCAAGGTGAGTGTGTCCCTCCCTGTCCTGTGTCTTCCTCTGGTGGGTGGGGCCCAGGGGCTCTGGGAGCTCCTCCTTTAGGAATTGTCTTTGTCAATTGGACTTAGCAATAAATGTCTTCAAGTTCCATCCATATTTTTTTAAATGACATGATTTAACTTATTTTTAAAAAAAGTCTGTGGGCCTCCCTGGTGGCGCAAGAGGTTAAGTCTCAGCATTATCAAGCTATCATCAGCCACTGTAACAGGGATCTACACACCTGGCTCAGCAGACTTCTCCTGAATCACCTGCTGCTCCACTCAGCAGTGTATTTCAGTCAGTCTGCCTGTTCTGTTCCCCACTCTGTCTCTGGTGAATCCTCTCACCCTCCACCCCCGCACCTCGGGCTTACATCCCACCTCTTGTATGTACACATAAATAACATAAATCTTTAAAAAAAATCTGAGTACTATATTTTTATGTGTGTTTGTGTTTGCGTAATTTTGCTCTATTTCTTTTTTTACTTAAATATTTCTTTTTTTTTTTTTTTTTTTATAGAGGCATGCTTTATTTATTTGTTTGCTGGTTTGTTTGTTTGTTTTGTTTACACATGCACTGGGTACAGTCAGAAGCGCGGGAGGGTGAGAGAATTCACCAGAGCCAGAGCGGGGAGCAGAGCAGGCAGAAGGACCGAAGTACACTGCTGAGGGGAGCAGCGGGCGGCAGGAGAGGTCTGCATGCCATGTGGGACCCTCCTCTGGTGGCCGGGGAGCAGCCGGGGATCGAACCGGCGCCGCAGAGGCCGCGCGCAGTTTCGCAACCCAGCGCTCAACCGCTGCGCCACCGGGGAGGCCCAATTTTGCTCTATTTCTTTCAATGTATCTCTGTTCCTGTCTCTCTCTTCAAATGGTGGAATATCCACTATGCTTCTGTTGCTTTCCTCATAGAGTTGGTTAGTTCTTCCAGTTTTTTTTTTAATTTTTCTCTTTTTTCTTCTAATTCAGTCCATTATTCTTTATTAGTGTGGGGTCACTGATTTGATCTTCTCTTTGGTCTATTCCACTCCAATAGCTTCTCCAGGAGTGAGTAACTTCTCTGCTGATCTTTTTATAGTCCTCATCTCTATGATGTTAATTTAAGGCTTCAATTTCTGTTTTCTTTTCACTGATTTTATTTTCCAAGTCATTCATTTATTGTTCTGAATTTTGTTTTATCTTTTTTGATTCACTTTTCTGTGTTTTCTCCATCTCCTTGACTTTCTTTTTTCTTTTTTTTTTAAAGATTTATTTGTTTGTTTGTTTATTTATTTATTTATACAAGCACTGGGGACAGTCAGAAGCACGAGAGGGTGAGAGAATTCACCAGAGCCAGAGCGGGGAGCAGAGCAGGCAGAAGGACCGAAGTACACTGCTGAGGGGAGCAGCGGGCAGCAGGAGAGGTCTGCGCGCCATGTGGGACCCTCCTCTGGTGGCAGAAAGCAGCCAGGGATCGAACCTGCGCCGCAGGGCTGCGGGCAGCTTCGCAACCCAGCGCTCCACCGCTGCGCCACCAGGGAGGCCCGACTTTCTTTTTTCTTTTTTAAATAAATTTTATTTTTATATTCCCCATACAATTGCAACCCCCTTATTTTGACCCCAATCCCTCCCCTCCCCGCCCCCCACCCCCCATAGAGTGTCTCTGGTTCATAGTTGTTTGTTGATTCTGATTTTCACTTTCTTATAGTTATTCATTTTCCTGGTCCCTTATTTAAGTTTTCTAGATTCCTGCTATGAGTGAGACCATCCGGTATTTTTCTTTTTCTTTCTGGCTTATTTCGCTGAGCATGATCCCTTCCAGCGCCATCCATGTTGCTGCAAATTGCATGTGTTTATCTTTTTTGAATGCTGAGTAATATTCCATGGTGTATATGTACCACATCTTCTTGATCCAGTCATCTATTTTTGGGCATTTGGGTTGTTTTCAAAGCTTAGCTATTGTAAACAGTGCTGCTGTAAACATAGGGGTGCAGGTGCTCTTTGGAGTTGATGTTTCTGTGTCCTTTGGGTAAATACCTAGGAGTGGAATTGCTGGATCATATGGAAGCTCTATGTTTAGTAGGTCAAGAAATCTCCACACAGCTCTCCATAGTGGTTGGACCAGTTTGCACTCCCACCAACAGTGCAGAAGAGTTCCTTTTTCTCCACACCCTTGCCAACATTTGTTGTTGCTAGTTTTTTTAATATGTGCCATTCTCACTGGTGTAAGATGGTATCTCATGGTAGTTTTGATTTGCATTTCCCTGATTACAAGTGATCTTGAATATTTTTTCATATGCCTGTTGGCCATTTGCATTTCCTCTTCAGAGAAGTTTCTTTTTAGCTCTTCTGCCCATTTTTTTTAATTTTTTTTTTTTATAGAGGCATATTTTTTTATTTATTTGTTTGTTTGTTTGTTTTGTTTATACATGCACTGGGTACAGTCAGAAGCACGGGAGGGTGAGAGAATTCACCAGAGCCAGAGTGGGGAGAAGAGCAGGCAGAAGGACCGAAGTACACTGCTGAGGGGAGCAGCGGGTGGCAGGAGAGTTCTGCGCGCCATGTGGGACCCTCCTCCAGTGGCAGAGGAGCAGCCGGTGATCGAACTGGTGCTGCAGAGGTTGCGGGCAACTTCGCAACCCAGCGCTCAACCGCTGCGCCACCGGGGAGGCCCACTTCTGTCCATTTTTTGACAGGGTTATTTTCTTTGTTGTTGTTGAGTCTCATCAGCTCTTTGCAGATTTTTGTCATCAGTCCTTTATCATTAGTGTTATGTGCAAAAATGTTCTCCCAGTTGGTGGGGTTTCTCTTTGTTTTTGTTATTGTCTCTTTTGCTGTGCAGAAGCTCTTTAATTTGATGTAGTCCCAGCTGTTTATCTTTGCCTTCACTATCACTGCTTTGGGTGATGTGTCTGTAAAGATGTCTTTGATGTGCATATCACATAGTGTTTCGCCTTTATTTCCTTCTATGTATTTTATGGTTTCAGGTCTTATGTCTAGTTCTTCAATCCATTTTGAGTTGATTTTTGTGTATGGTGTGAGGTAGTGGTCAAGCTTCATTCTTTTGCATGTAGCGACCCAGTTTTCCCAGCACCATTTATTGAACAAACTTTCTTTGCTCCAATGCATAGTCTTTGCTCCTTTGATCCTTGACTCTCTTTATTATGGCAATTTGAACTCTACCTGATAGTAAGATGCGATCATCCATATCTTTGTAGTTGCATATTGCAGAGTTGGTCTCATCTTGTGATATCATGTTCCCTTGAGATCTCAAGTTTCTGAGGCTTATTTTGCTGCTTTACATTTCCTATTTTTCAAAAAATGCATCTGTAGTGGTAACTTAGAGAGTTCAACTACTTGTGCTTTCCATCAGGTGACCATGTTATTTTTTTAAGACTTGTAATTTATGCAGGACTAGAGACCTGATCCTTGAGATGCTGAGTCAGAGACTGTGGGGCCTGCAGTCATCCAGCCTCTAGGGTGGGTGCTCTGGCTGGGGCGCGTGAGCTCATGTTTGTGGCTCCCCTGCCACCAGCCTCTCTCAGTTCAGCCCTGAGACTCTCCCTGTGCACACTGTCCCTGAGCTTCAGGAGGGCAGGGCCAGTCCTGAGAGAGTAGTGGGGGTGCATCCAGCTCTGTGCCTTGTTTCTTCACTGGGAACCTTGTTAGCTGGGAGCCCCCATCAGAGCTGTGAACCCCTCACTGTCAGCTCTCCCTGCCCAGGGTCACGTGCCTGTTTGAGTGACCACCACAGCATGTGCTGAGCCTCCTCCATTCTGACCACAGCCTCCAGGTGTCTCTCTATGCCTACCTCTTGCTCAGTGAAGCATGACTCTCCTCTGTGTCCCTTTTGGTGCTATCTGCCTGGTGACTGCTGTATGAGAGTGTCCAGTTTTGTCGCAAGCCTGGTGTTCTCTGGCTGCCCTGTTCACTCATTCGCATTGATGATCCTCTGTGCAATGAAACAGATTTCTCAGGCACCTTCTTAGTACCCCAAGAACTCTTTTGAAATGCACATTCTTGGGTACATCCCAATCTGCTGCATCAGGCCTGAGGTAGGGTCCTGGCATTTTACAATTACAAGCCCTTCTGGTGATAGTGATGGTCAAGGTGTGAACCAGGGAGTTAGCATTTTTTATGGAAGGTCCTGCTATCAGGTACACTAGTGAGTGAGGGAGCATCTTTAACATTATTTCTGGACCACAAGTTGTGGTTGGAAGATCTTTCCCAGATTCAGAATTGTCACTGCTAATCCTTCATTTCAGCTGTCTGCTCATCAGACACCTTCCCTCAGTCTTCCTGGGCCTCCCCCAGTGATGGTGTGTGTTCCCTGATATGACTGTGTCTCTCAGCCTTTCTAACTCCCATGTCTGTGTTCACAGAGAGGTTCCGTGTGTTCGGCCCCCCAGGCCCCATTGTGGCAGAGCTGGGTGAAGATGCCACACTGCCCTGCTCCCTGGACCCAGTCATGAGTGCAGAGAAAATGGAGTTGAGGTGGTTCCGGTCCAGTACCTTCGAGTCAGTGTTCACCTATCAAGACGGACAGGAACGACATGAGATGCTAATGGCCCAGTACGCAGGACGGACCTCACTGGTGGGGGAATTCCTCCGTGTGGGGAAAGCTGCTGTGATCATCCACGAGGTCCAGGCTGCTGACAATGGGCTGTACACCTGCTTCTTCAGCAACGGAGTGTTCCATGAGCAAGCCAGCTTGGAGTTGCAGGTGGCAGGTTGGTGACATGTTAAATATCTCAGAGTCCTGGAGTTCTGGAATTGGGGAGAAAATAAGGGCAATGCAATTTAGTTTTTCATGTTATTTATGAGTAAGAAAAGGCTTATTCATTCATGTTTTATGAAATGTAAATATCCAGGGTCCCTACCACATGTCTGGCCCTATTCTAAACTCTTAAATATAAAAGCAAATCTAATAAAGTTCTTTACTCTGTGAGTTTATATTTGTAGTGGGAGAGGGAACAGTCATAATAAATAACTAGGGCATAAATGACTTTCAAAGTGAGAAGGGATGAGGACAGGAAGCTAAATGGAGCAGGGAATTGGGTGAGAAATGTGGGGCTGGGGCTGAGGGGAGGTTCCAGTAATAAACAGTAGCTCAGGCTGGGGCCGTAGGAGCAAAGACTCCAGGGAAGTGGGAATACAGCTGAGTAGATATCAGATGTGTGGGGGTTCCTTTCTCCCCAGTATATAGACAGATAATTACTATATATTATATGTAATGTGAGGCATACAGCATAATGACTGATTTATATATACAGTGAAGTGATGGCCACAATAGGTTAAATCACATCTGTCAGCTATTATAGGTTTCATAAAAAGAAAGAAAATGAAGCAAAAGGGAAAATTTCCTCATTGTGAAAAAAAATTCTTTGGAGTTTGTCTTTTAACAACTTCCCTACATGTCACACAGCAATGTTGGCTACAGGCATGTTGTACATCACAGGGAAGGGAATTTCTACTTGTAGGCACAGCCCGTGTGAATGACCTGGGGGGAGCGTGTGTTTGGTGTGTGATCTGCTCACATGGAGTCCTCATGGCTGGTAGGAGAGAGTGAGGGGCAGGGTGTTGTGAGGTGACAAACTCTCATAAAAAAATGTGAGCGCATGTCAGAGAGGTCAAGGGTGGCTGATTAATGCTCCCAAAGGTAATCGTAAAAACCTCCATAGGATGTAGATATTTGAGCTGGGATGTCATTTTATCTAATAGGTTCTATAAAGCCCTCAGATCAGATGCAGAAGGGAAGGTGGAGTCCACAGGGCCTGGTGATTGTGGGCAACAGCAGTTAGATTCTTTAGTTTGGGGTGCTGCGCCTTGGGGGCACAGGTATAAAAGTGTGAGCACTGCAGAGAGAAGAGGCTGGGGAGGAGTCACAGATGAGGAGTCCTGGTGCGCATGTTGTGGTATTTGCATGTGGAGCTGTTGGAGATTTTCAGCACAGCAGGGCTTAGCATGTGACTCTGGCATCAGTGGGGAGGACAAGGGCGGGGACAGTATCTGGAGTTGTGGCTGCAGTTACGGGGTGGAGAGGGGGGCTGGTTCACACAGTGGCGGTGGATGCTCAGGAGGTGCCCTCAGTGAGGTTCAGAAATAACCCAACTGAATGGGGAGAATTGGGTCACAGAATTTAAAGTGGAAGAAGGGATTGCAGAGTCTGTGTGATATTTAATGTCACGAGCATTAATAATGTGTATCAGTTGCCTGTCACCACAGTGCTGCTGTGTAACAAAGAACCACAGACAAAATCTCTCAGTGGCCTCAGTGGACTTGTATTCATAGGCTGGAGGGGACTTCAGCTAACCTGGCATGGACTTGACTACTCTCCACTGAACTTCCTCCTACATTGTTTGGTCAGATGAAAATGTCATCAAGTGGACCTTGGCTGGGCTTGTAGCATGAATGGTCATGGGCTCCTGGCTGGGGAGAGTGACCTGTTCCATCCTGGCTGAGGGAGGAGCTTCAGGGGGAAAGGCTGGTGGCAGACCCTGTTCTGCCTGAACTACAGTGTCCTTCTATGGAGATGGCAGAGGGAAGACCCAAGGGGCCAGCACTTTAAACCTCTGCTGAGTCGCATGAGCTGATCTCTCCTTAGACACATGAAGTCACATGACTGATCCCAGAGTCAGAGTGAGAGTAAAATATACATGGCAGAGTGTGAGCCTGATATGAAAAAGGGTGAAGAATTAGGAACTTTTTTTTTTTTTTTTTTTGCTAATTTACCTCAGATGAGACAACAGCATGAGTTCAGGTGTAGAATTTAGGGTGTGAAGAGCATGTGAGGAATCCTGGCAGATGTAACCCACAGGGATGGGGCTATCAGGGAGGGAGATGAGGAGGCTGGTGAGGTGATATCTGAAAGTGATGCATGAGGAGACACAGGAGCTGAGGGGGAAGAAGCCCTGGGAGAGGGTGTGAGATAAGACGGGGCTTTAAGAACTGGACCCTGGGACTGCGCTGCCTTCAGGGAGCAGGTGCAGGGAGAAAAGTCAGGAAAGGGGCTCAGCAGGGGTCCAAGTTACAACAAGCCACCCTCAGAGGGAAGTGACCAACCCAAGATGGAGGTGGTTTCAAGATGAGGTCAGGAGTGTCCTGAATGAGGGGAGACTGGGTGAGAGGACTTTGGAGACTGGGGTTGACAGATGGGAGACTTGTTGAATCACCCAGAACAGAATGGACTAGAAGGATAAGTTGCACTATGGAGGCTGAGATGTTGGTGAGAAATGAGAAAATACAGTTGTTTATGGATTATAAGGTGTACTCTTTAACAAGAAAAGAATTCTATAAAGATTTGAAACATGTTTATATCATTATAAAAATAATAGGTAGAAAGGTAGAGATGGACATATCTTGTCATTGTCTTGGTCTAGGTCTCTCCCAGACTTCTCAGAGTGCACCTTGACAGCCTCACCTGGAGGTGTGCACATGTGGGCCTGCCCCACCTGTCTCTCATCTTCTCTCTGCAGTTGTGGGCTCTGCCCCCCAAGTGCACATCACGGGGCCAGAGGAGGATGGGGTACGCGTGGTGTGCACGGCCTCGGGCTGGTTCCCAGAGCCTCAGGTGCAGTGGAGACAGCCCCGTGGGGAGCAGTTCCTGGAGTTCTCCAAGGTCCAGGCACAGGACACTGAGGGCCTGTTCAGTGTGGAGGCCGCTCTGGTGGTGAGAGACAGCTCTGCGGGGAGCGTGACCTGTTCCATCCTCAACCCCGTCCTGGGTCAGGAGAAGGTCATGGCCATTGTCATCCCAGGTCAGCGCATCTCCCTCTTCCCCATTCCCTGCAGGGGTGGGGGGCCAGCACCCCCCGGGGTACTGGGCTGGGATGTCTTGGGCTGTGTCTTGATGGGGTCTCTGTGGGGTCTCTTTCTGCAGAGCCCTTCTTCCCCTGGGCCACTCCCTGGAAGCCGGCTTTCCTGGTGATCCTGCCCTTGTTGCTGCTCCTGCTCCTGGGGGCTGCCTGCTACACCCAGAGAGAACATTCCACACAGATGCGGGAGCTGCAGGAACAAATGAATCTGTGTGGGGCTAAGGAGAAGGACAGACAGGCCAAGGAGGAGGCCTTGACGGACACAGGTAGGGCAGGACAGGGGCCAGGCTGGTGAGTGTGGCGGTGGGTGCTGAGAGGGACAAGCTGACACCAGAGCCAGAGCCCAGGGTCCCTCTGCAGGGAGATCAGAGCAGGTGCTGAGTCCCAGAGGAGACAGTGGAGCTTGGAGGCTCATGTTGGTCTGACGGTAGAAATTCTAGGACACAGAGAGTTTCATTTTTGTTTCTTCTCTAGGCACAAATTTTGTTCTTAGCAACAGTTTATGCTTATATTTTTCATTCTCTTTCAGAGGAACTCCAGGCAATTCTAGGTAAGCTCTGCTCTCCCTCCTGAACTCTCTGTGCCCCCTTCATAGGAGATATTCTGGTTCTTAGCTCACCTGTGTCCTGTGTTGCCTTTCAGGCCAGAGGAAGGCAGCTTACCTGGCTGGTGAGTGATGCCCCAGGGGTCCTGTGTCCCTGTCCCCTGTGCTCAGGGGTCCCTCCCCTTGGCTGTCTAAGCACAGACATGTGGACCATTCCCTGCGGTGGAAGTGGGAGCTGGTAGGAGGCAGGACTCTGTTGCATGGGGTCTCCAGATCTGGGTGCTGTTTTCCCCCCATTCTTGGGATCCTGGGGGGTGGTGACCCTTGGAGTCTCCTGCATCCTGGTCTCATTCCAGCCCTGACTTTCCCACCATGGTGCTGGCTTTCTAGTCCTCAATGCATCTGGTTCTTGGTCAGCACCTGGAAGTAAAGCAGCTGCTCTGGGATTTTATAAGTAAACGGACTCTTGAAGTTTAGGAGTGTGACCTCCTCCTGCCCTTGCTCCCCAGACAACCCCGAGGAAAGTCTGTGCTCTCTACTCCTGAAGTTGCTGATCAGTAGTGCTGGGAGAGGTCGGGGTGACCTTGCATGGGTGGGAGTGGGGGGACTTTCCTCTCCCAGTATTACTAGAAATACTGCATTGGAGGAAGATGGGTCATTTCTACTCTGGAGCTGGTGTGATGTCCATGTTGTGTTTTTATTTCATCTTCCCATTAATTTCCAAGGAAATACTGAATGTAATAATTATGGAGTAATATGTACATTAAAAAATATCTTCCCACGGGCCTCCCCTGGTGGTGCAGCAGTTGAGGACTAGGCTGCGAAGCTGCCTGCAGCCTCTGCAGCGCCAGTTCCATCCCTGGTCGCTGGGAGGGTCCCACATGGTGTGCAGACCTCTCCTGCTGCACCCGCTGCTCCCTTCAGCAGTGTACTTTGTCAGTCTGCCTGTTCTGTTCCCCACTCTCGCTCTGATTAATTCTCTCACCCTCCTGCGCTTCTGACTGTACCCAGTGCTTGTATAAATAAATAAATTTTAAAGATTTGAATAAATCTTTAAAAAAAAGCTTGCCATATACTGTTTTTGATCCTGTGTAGCAACACTGAGCAGCAAGTGAAGCACGACCTTTGAAGTCTTTGAAGCCCAGAGCTGCTCAGTGACTTGCACAAAACCCCCACAGCAGCATCAGGCAGGGCTGGGTCAGTCTGTCCTGCAGGCTCCTGACCTGAGCCAGGGGATTCCCCACCACCCCCTGCTGTCTGCTGGGAGCAGGAGGTCATAACCTCTCCAGGCCTCCCCTCCATCCCCTAGAGAGTCTCACCTGCAGAACAGGGGATGGTCAGGGCCCATGGATCACAAGAGCAGCTGGTTGTGCTGAGGTCTCACCTGTGTGTTTCCTTTCAGCCTGGAGGAAGGCCCAGCTGTATGCAGGTGAGTGGTCCTGAGAGTCCTGGGATCCCCTCCCATCCTGTCCTCCACTCCTTCTCTATAGGGACCTCCCACCAGGAAGGACCTGGGGTCCCTGGTCTTCCCTCACTCTGGAGCCTCTATCTGAGAACTGCAGTGCCCCCAACCCTTGTGATCACGGCCGTGCCTCCACCTGCCTTGTCCTCCCTGCATATCATGTGGGGTCAGGACAGTCTCTGACCCCTTGTCACCTGGTCCTTTCTTGTGGGTAAGGGCATTGGGTGTCAGTGTGAGGAGAGGCTGCAGCAGGGACAAGTGTGTGGTCCAGGATTTGCTGATCACTCGAAAATTCCAGATTACTATTTCTTAGTCAGGTCTTGCTAAGGGGTCCTGGGTTATGGATCCTTCTGGATCCCAAATTCCAGTCCTATTTTGGATCTAGTTTTTGTTTCCTGCTTCCTCTTGATTCTCTGTCTTCTCATGCATGCTCTGATTCATGTCCAAGCTGGATTTTTCTTCTAATCCCTTGTGGTTGCTGACGAATCAGTTGTTTAGAGCTGGTGTCCGAGTCTGGGTCAGAGCTTCTGGGGTGTTTATGGCTCTTGGGTAGAGGCCTGTCAAAGGTCTGAAATTTGATGTAAAATCCTGTGTGTGTGTGGTGTGTGTGTATGTGTTTGTGTGTATTTTTTTGTGTCTTTATAACAAGATAAACAATGTATGATTTTTCAAGACCATCATCTTTTTAAGGAGAATTCTGTCTGACATTCTCATGGTTGCTATTAAGTGGTTTTTTTTCATTTTCTTCTTTAAATTTATTTTATATATTTTTACATCATTTTTCATTTTTGCACAGTGTATGCATTTTCATCTTGGTTATAGTCCCCATACAATTCCCGCCCCTCTTATTCCCTTATTTTGACCCGAATCCCTCCTCCCCTGTAGTGTGTAGGGTTTTTTTTTAAAGAGGTAACTAAGTAAATGGTTATAATCAATTTCCAAAGAACAGGGGGGAAATTTGAAAGAAAAGTCTAGATGGAGATAGAGAGGGGAAGGAAAGAGAGGGGTGTGTGGGAGAAGAGCCTTCTAGAGTTTTGGGCACAGTCACCAGTTTGAATCTGTGCTGTGCAGACACTGTGCAAGGCTTGGGAATGAAACACAGTGGGCCTTTTGAAGTACTTCAGATAAAGTTACACTTTAAAAACCATTATTGAGGTGACCATCTAATTGTGTTGCTTCTCACATGAGCTCCCCCTGTAACCCCAGGGCAGGGTCTGCACAGAGTCCTGCAGGGAAAGTCAGAGATGCTGGTGGAGGAAGATCTGAGCCTTGTGAGCCTGAGTCACACGCCCTTTCCCTGCTCAGGGATTTGTTTATGGTCCTGGACACAGACCCTGAGCCAAGAGAGAGGGTTTGTAGGGGAGGGGTCTCGGGATCAGGAGTGTGAGGACCCTCCTGAGAGTCTCCCTGGTTCCCCTGGGGCTCATTTCCACACAGTGAGGATCATAGCATCGTCTTTACCATCATTTCAGTGTCTGCTGAGTTCATGTCTCATGCATTTTAACAAACTTTCCTTGGGCATGCAAAAAGAATGATGTGTTTGAATGAAGCACCATTAAAACACTAGAATTAACATTTTGATATCAAAAGAGTCACAGATAGATACATGTGTGATCTAGTATTAATTATAAAATTAGAAAAAAAACATTTTTACTTAAAGTTTTGCTACAAAAATGAACTGACTAGCGCAGTCAGTGCACACACAGTCCTGGGTGCGCTGTGTCTCACATTAAATGTCACTTTGATTTTCTCTTTTTGTTCCTCTGCTCCTGTTCCTGTTCTCCTCCACACCCTCTTTTTCACTGTTTATGAAGAAGTATATTGTAGAGCGTTAGAGCTGGATGTCAGCTAGTGTCTAGCAAAAATAAGTCAATTTAAAATCTCCTTTTTTCACAAAGAGGTCACATATATGCCACCCAATCATTGCATGTGATCTTGTTTCTTATCAAGCAAAGATGGAAATGCCAGTTTCTCAGATGTGAGCTTGTGCAGGTGTGGCTGGTGTCACACATTTATACACCATGTGCACAAGAAGATGTTGTTCCTTATTCCTATAGATGTGGATCCCGGATTCTCCTCTCTCCCCCTCTCTCCTCACACGGTTGGGAAACTCACGCTCTCCCCTCACGGCCTCAGAGTCTTACTGTGTCTGACCTGAGTGTTGGGGAATGACCTGCTTCCTCCTTCCCAGGCAGGTGTGGGGTGGGGATGACATGGCCTTGGAGTGCTGGGGGGGAGGGGCCTATTCTCCCCTTTCAGTCATTTCAGGGGCTCCCCTGGGACCACTGGTCTATGATCCTGTGTGGCACATGCTGAGGGGGGCAGGGCGCATCCTGTCTGGTCATTAGGGCTTGTGGGTGACCCTCCCTCTACAGCAGAATCAGGGTCTGGTTCTGTCTCTGGTCAGCAAATTGATGAACCTTCTGGCTCCTTCCTCCTGTCCCATGTCCTTGTCTTCCTCACCTGTCCTTCCCTCCCTGCCTGCTCTCCAGGCCTCACTCTCTCCCTCCTTCTCCCCCCAGAGCAGGTGACACTCCTGGGTCCTCATCTCTTCACGTGCATCATGGGGTCCGGGTGCTCCCTCCAGACCCTCCCCTGCCAGGGCCCTGCTCACCTGCCTGGGCCCCCACATGGGGCATCAAGCTCCAGCTGCTGCTGACACACGTCACCACACCCTGAGCAGCATCACCCACGCAGTTTATCATCTCACACGCCTGCAGGGAAGACACCTGAGAATACGTCCTGGGACTAACTCCAGGGTCTGGCAGCTCCTTCCTTCCAGGAGCCCCTTCCTCTCCCAGGATCTAGGGCCTCCTGCACTGACTGGGGAACCCCATCCTCTGTCTACACAGCCTGCCCTGCAGCCTCTTTGTGGCCCTGCTGCCGTCACCATGTGACTGTCTCTGTGCACAGGTGCAGGGTCATGGCTGTTAAGGCTCATGTGATTGGTTCTACGTGGTGATCCACAGTAACATCCCTGTTTCCAGGTCCCGTCTCTGTCCACCTGAAGGTTTCTCTTTCCTCTGTAAAGGACACATGTTTACAGAGTCATGGGATGAGGACATGGACATCTTTGAAATCATTATTCTGCTTATACAGGGAGGTTTTACTTTGAAGCTTCCATCTTTCTGGGCTCCTCTTGAAGGAAACAGTGTGTCAATCCAATGTGTTTGTGTTCTTCTCTGTCTACAGGGATGGTTTTGTCTCCACCACACATGAAAATGTGGAAAATTGTCACTAGTGTTTGATCCTCTCAGTGTGTGTCCATGTCCCCTACTCTGCACGTCTATCTCCTCCTAGAACCCTCTCGACCCCCTCCTGAGTGGGCAGGACCCTCTGCTGAGTGCCCTGAGTCTCCTCATTCATGTCACAGTCACCCCCATGTGCAGCTCAATTACCTTTTTTCATTCTCTCTCTCTCTCTGTCTGTCTCCCCTTGTTGGACAAACAGATTTATTCACAATCAGAGGGAAAAGCTCTGCCCACCAGCCCCCATGTCTCCAGGCCTCCAGAGGCCTTTCCTGTCCCAGCAAGCGGGAGCATCAGGCCGCACACAGGCCTGGGCTGGTTGTAGCTCTAAGACCAGGTCTGTTAGTTCTTCACAAGCACACGCAGTCCTGGGCATTTCATCTCCATAGAACCTGTTCAAGAAAACCTAGTTTCCAGGATGCATGTGTGGCTGGTGGCTGAAAAGTATAATTTGATGGTCATATCTGGGTGAAGACATTTCTGTTCCATTGGTGGTCAGCCTGCACCCCTGAGTATTAAGCTTTATGTCTGAATTATGGGGAATTTGCCACATAACAATTGTGTGTGTGTGTGTATGAATCTAAAAGTTGAAATATCAACTAAATGTTTCCAAATATTTTCCCCTGTGAACTGTGTCACTGTCTTGTAGAAAACTAGGAGTTGACCCTGATGTGTGAGTATCTAGAGTCCCTCACATGACATGTGTGTCTCTTGCAGATTGGAGGAAGGAGAAGTTCCGGGCCTGTGAGTGACTCTGTTCTCTCTGGGGCTGCTCAGCTTCTGGCCTTTCCTTCTGTTCTCTGTGTGGGCACAGACTCTGCACCCTCCGTGGGGGTGGGGTGGGTGCTGCTGTGATGTCACACAGCTGTATTGGGAGGGGGTGACTGCTCATGAGTGCTGAAGGGGCTCCTTTGTCCTTGGGGTCCAGGCAGGTCCCCAGGGGTCCTGTGACATATTTGACCCCCAATTATCTTGTGGCTCCTTCTCTTGCTTGGGGGCTGTGGGCTGGGGTCACCAGGCTCTCATTTCAGGGAACATATCCTTCTCCCCATAAAGCTGAGTATCTGGGGTGAGGAGGTGTGTGCCCTTGTTATGTCAGGCTGGCACATGGGTTCTCTCTCTGCAGGGCCTGTCACTCTGGATCCAGGTTTTTGCAGTCATGGAATTGTCCTCTCTCATGACAAGAAGAGTCTGACCTGTTATCATGAAGGAATAGAAGGAGGATACAGAGTTTGGGGTATTGAGGGCATCACATCAGGCCGCTGTTACTGGGAAGTAGAGGTCAGGAGTTCAGACAGAACTGTGTGGGCACTGGGGGTCTGGACAAAAGATGAGGAAAATAGAAACGGTGCTGTGTCCCCACTGAAAAGGAAATGGGTTATTGGCCGGAACCATAATATTTTCAAAGCCAGTACTGACCTTCCTATTCTACTACCCCTTAGGCGGGTTCCCCACAGGGTGGGGGTTTTCCTGGACTATGATCATGGGGATGTCTCCTTCTATGACATGACTGATGGCTCCCACATCTTCTCCTTCCCTCCTGAGTCCTTCTCTGGGACCCTCTTTCCATATTTTGTCTGCCATTTAGGAGACGTGTCCCTCACCTTTTGCCCCCTGGAGGCTGGGCCCCAGAAGCCCTCTGTGCCCATGAACAATCCTCCTTCTCTGAAGGAGCCTGTAAGTCCCCCAGGGGAGGGGATCCCCTTAGGCTCTGGTGTGGATGGGGCTCCCCCAGGGCCTGAAGGCCCCCTCTTCCCCTGCACCCCAAAGACTGTGTCCCCATGAGCCCCCTCGCTGCCCAGCCCTGCCCTGGGCTCTTCTTGGGGCTGCAGGTTCCCTGTGGACAAACCTGTGAGTGAGTCCCAGATGCTGGAGTCTTGTCCTCCTGCTCTGGGTGCAGATTCCTGGGCCGTGGCTGAGAGAACAGTCAGGTCAGGGCTTGTGCTGAGACATAACTTTGAACCTGTTTAGGGTAGAACTAGTTTTTCCATGGGAAAAATTTATTTGGTAAAGAAAATATTTACTAGGGATTTTATGCTGTTAGGGCAAGAAAGGGGATGAGCTCTGAATGATTCTCCTAAATTAACTGGAGTTTACTTAATCCAACCTGGCTTTGTTTGGAGGAAACTAGAGCCTGATGGAGGGTCCCCAGATCTATTTTTAGGGGTCTGGACTATCTGACCAGGAAAATTCTGCCTCCAAAATATTTGGGGGAAAGGCAGATGATAGACTTTAGAGGAGCCTAATATTCTGTTATCTGCTTCCTACACTTGAATGGTTGAAATACACTTAATTTTATCAAACCTGATGAATTTCTATGACCAGTGGTTAACTTGGGGTGTGTTAATTTGGTGACCTCAGGAGAAGGATCTGGTTCCTCTTTTGTGTCAAACCATTTGTAAAGAAAAGAACAGCTCCCTGAATTAAGATGAGAATAAAAAGGAGACTTTCAGACTCGGGGTGACTTGGGGAACTGGAATTTGAGTTCTACAGACCCCTGTGCTGACTCGGTCACGGGAACCACAGCTGCCAGAAGAAGCAGGATCCTGAGCCCCAGACCTGCAGGGAGGAAGGTGTGATCCCTCCCTCGGGGGACACTGACATGGTTCTGGTGGGAGGAGAAGACAGAGAAGGGGGAGTAGGGGAGTCAGATGTCATAAACCTGTGTGACTGTAAAGAGATTGTAACAGTTTTAACAATTTTCTCTTGTGTGTGTTAATTTGTATTTATTACCCATTGTCTTCATTTGTCATCTTCCCTTGTGCTTTTATACAAGTTGATGTAGTTTATGTTTATAATATAGTTTTGGGTAACAGAATAGATAAAGGGGCCTCCTCGTGGTGCCAGGACTTAAGCTCAGCACTATGAAGCTATGTGTAGCCACTGCAGCCAACTACTGTCCCAAACCAGGGAGCTACCTGCATGGCACAGCAGACCTCTCCTGTTTTGCCTGCTGCTCCCCTAGGCAGTGTATTTCAGTCAATCTGCCTGTTCTGTTCCCCACTCTGTCTCTGGTGAATCTGCACCTCTGGCCTGTATTCCAGTTCTTGTATGCATACATAAATAAATCTTTTAAAAAAAAAACCAGAATAGATAAAGTTATTGTGAGTAAATTTGTAAAAAACCTAACATGGCATGTTAGATACAAAATTGGGACTGTCTGTCCCCTCATTTTGGGACAAGGTGAGCAATTCTTCACTTGTAAAGGAAACTTTCTCTTCATATTTAAAAATAAGCCATGTATACATTGTGAGTGTGGGGCTGAGGAGTCAAATGCATGGACTCTCCCATCACCCATTTACTGCCGTGGCTGTGAGAAAAGTCAGGCCAGGCCTTATGCTGAGGCCAGAGATGGTGAAATTGACTGACCTGAACCTGTTTGGGGTAGGAAGAATGTTACCATGGGAGATCATTTTTCTTTTCATAAAGAAAATATTTCGAGGGGTTTAGATACTGTTTGGACAAGGAAGGGGATGAGCTATGAATTCCGGTCCTAAAGTAGCTGGAGTTTATCCAACTTGAGCTTGTGCTGAGGAATCCAGATGCTGAAGATTACCTTATGTTTATGATGTATTTTGGGGGTAACAGATAAACAATTGAATTGTGACTGAAGTTGAGAAATAAGCAATATAGATACAAAGATTGGTGTTGCCTGTTTCGGAGACGTGTAAAGGGAGCTTCTCTTGGTACTTAAAAACATACAATTGTGCTGTGTGGTTGTTCAGTGTAAGGAGCTGAGTAGTCACAGATATATACTGTGTCCATCACCCATATATCGCTTCCTGGCCCACATCCCCCCACGTGCCCTCCTGTGTGACCTGGAGCTGGACCCCAGGAGCGTGTCTCTTTGCTCCCTGCACAGTGTCAGGATGAGCCCTGGAGGGGACACTCCAGTCACAGCCAAGGACATGTATCTCTTCTGGTTGAGCTGCTTTTCTTCTGAATCTGTGATGGGATATTTGTCACTTTTAGGAATTACCCTCAGCCACTATCCATGAAATTTTTCCTTCTATTGTTCTGAAAAACTATTAAAAACTGATAAATAAGTAAGCTGTGTGTGTCATGTCTTTTGATCTAATGGGACATTACAGAGATTTTGTAATTAGATTCAAATTTATGTAACTATTTAGAAAATGCACAAGGTTTGACTTGGGTTTTTATCATTAATTAAGGATGTGTTTGCCGTGGAGTCACATGCTGTCTGTAAAACAAAAAAGAGAATTCCAAAGACTATAATTTTTTTATCTATAGATATTACCACTTTTGTTCTTTCTTAGAATATTTTATTTTAAGTTGCTTTCATGCTGGAAATAAAGGATCTATTCCTCAAAATCCTCTTATTAGCATGTTGCAATAATACCAGTGCTGTCACTGATTAATTAATAATATTAATTATTATATACTGTCTTGCTGCGAACCCGCCACAGCAGCCTGGGTGTCAGGGTTCCTTGAAGGATGGGACGGCGTCGGCAAAATCAAGAGGAAAGTGGGAAGGGAAAAGGAGTGAGGAGACGCAGACACTCGGTCAGGTGCAGGCATCGTCCTTCAAGGAACCCTGACACCCAGGCTGCTGCGGCGGGCTTGCAGCAGGTGGTTCCTGAACAGGGACTTGACAGGTAAGTCATTTTTGTGCTCAGTTTTCAGGGATCAGCTAGGATCTGCTCAAGGGTAACCGGAACCCCTCCGTAGAGGTAAGCGGAGTAAGGACGAGCAGAAATACAGAACTTTGAGAAGTTATGGGCCTTATTGAGTCTAAAGAAAGAAGACTCTTTATAGACATTATTAAGTATACATTTAGTAAAAGAAGCATAAAAACCTCCCATGCTCAATTGACGTCCTTTTTAAACTTCGTAGAAACATGCTGTCTGTGGTTCCCGAGGGACGGACGGCACTCTTGATGTGCAGACATGGGCAAGGGCAGGAGAGGAAATGTCCACATATTATTCGACCTTTGGGCCTGAAAAGGTCCCTGTGGATGCCTTTTCTCTATGAGGACTGCTAAAAGACATGCTAGATCAAGGGTCTGAACTCCAAAAAATAAGTGCTAAGCTACAAGAAACACGATTTTTGACATCAGAAAAGGCAGAGGAAGTTAAAATAAAATAGTTGAACGACCAAGTTGAAAAAATTACGTTAAAGGAAGATGACCCAAAGTTAAAATACAAGGATCAGGAAAAATTAGTTAATGAGGTTCAAATAGATGCCTCGGACTTGTCCGAGGAAGAAGAAATAATATCTAAAAAAGCTGAAAAGGTTACATTTGAAAAGGCAACTGCTCCGCCCTATGAATCCCTGTCCCATAAGGGTAGGGACTCTATGATTGCTCTTGACTTAACCAATATTGTTAAAAAATATATGCAGGAAGTGGCCAAAAAAAGAGGCTTGACCAAAACAACCTTAGCTAACTGGAGCAATTGAGAGGCCTCCAGCACTCGCTCCCGCTTATAGAATGAGACAAAAGAGATTAAGTGAGGCAAAATTTGCCAGAGCTGTAAAGCGGGCAGAGAAGCAGGGAGACTTCACTCTCCAATGTTACCCTGTCCAGTATGCCAGTGATAAATATGATAATGCTCAATGGGAGCCCATCCCTTTTAAACTTTTAAAAGAATTAAAGCATTCCGTGTCCGCTTACGAACCTGCCTCTCATGTCTCCCAGATGCTCAATTCTATCTGACCCCGTCTCATTGGAACCAGACTGTAAAATCCGCTCTCCCTGGTGGTATGTACTTATTGTGGAAAGCAAATTATGAGTATGAGGCTGATAATTAGTGGAAGAACATAATAAGAGTAGTTCAGAAAGAAATCAGGTTGACATTGAGATGTTGATGGGAGAAGACGAGTGGGAGACTCCCCAAGATCAGGTGGCCCTACCTGTTGCAGCACTACGCCTTACACGTGATGCGTCACTAAAGCTTGGCATAAATTACCAACATCCGACCTAAAGACATCAGGCCTTGTTAATATTAAGCAGAGGCCGGAGGAACCCTATGAAGACTTTCTTCCCGATTGATGGATGCTGTCCGCAAGGCTGTCTCTAACAATGAAGCTGCTGAAATTTTAACTCAACAGCTAGCCTTTGATAATGCTGCTCCCCCATGTCAGGCCCTAATCCGACCTGTAAAAAAGACAGGTGATCTTAATGAATATGTTAGGGTATGCTGGGATGTTATCCACGCATATCTACAGGGGGTGGCTATAGCAGCTGCACTTAAAGGCCAGACTAGCTCACAATGGTTTTCGTCATTGAATCAGCTAAAATCGGCTCAAAATTACGGCAATAGTCTAAATTCTAATGCTTCCTGTTTTTCCTGTAGAGAGCCCAGGCATTTTAGCAAAAATTGCCCTAACAAAATTAACCCCTCATCACTAGCTGGAGTCCCTTCAAGACTTACGCTTCCAAGGACTCCATGCCCGCATTGCAATAAGGGCTTTCATTTGTGAAGAGATTGTAGATCCAAATTTCACCAGGATGGGTCTTTACTGCCACCTAATGACCAGCAATTAGCGGGTTCTTCCCCAGCAGCTCCGCCAAAAGAGACTTGGCAGTCGGGAAACTGGGTGCAGGGCCCAACCCAGGCCCCTCAAATAACAGGGGAATCCCTTCAGCAAGGCAGCGAACAATCTCAGATCTCGCCCGCGCCACCTCAAGCAATGCAAGCCTGGACTTGCGTTCCACCACCTCAGCAATATTGACTTCTGATCAATCATGTGTTGTAATCCCCACTGGAGTGTATGGGCCACTCCCGCCTAACACTGTTGGGCTTGTCATTGGCTGTAGCTCTATG